AAACAAAAACTAAATGCTGAGGGCCTCACCTTTCCAAAGCTGTGCTTCTTTATGAACGCGCATGTCTTCAGGATCTCGTATAAATCGATGAGTTTTTCGGCCGGAGTGTTTTCCTTCAGGTTAACGTCAACCACTCGCTGAATCACGGTGTCTGAGCTGCTACTGAACGCATCAGCCATGATAGCAGACAGCTAACGATGTCTAAGAAAACACAACAAACACTCCAATGCTAAAACAAATAAGTCAACCTAAAACAGTTAGTGCTAGCTAAATAGAGCAGCATGTCTGACTGAATTAAAAATAATGAACACGTAAATACAAACACCAGCTGTCAACGGCTGGAGTTTCTATATAAAATGTATCTTTCAGACAGATTTCGTGTAGGTAGATTTTTCTGTAAATGCCTGTAGAACTAAACACGTGTCTAGAGTTCAACCGGAAATGTGACAGAAGCGCTTCCGGTTTAAATGTTTTTCAAAATAAAACTCAAGTCGCCAGAGCTCTGGATCAGAATCCTGAATCAGAATAAGAAATACTTTAATAATCCCAGAGGGAAATTGCTTAGGATCGAGAGGGGACCTTCTATACCTCGGGGGCCCATAGTATTTATTAGAAAGACTTCTAAAGAGGAGCATCAAATTTGTGAATCTTAAAAAAAACCAATAGGAGAGTCTTATAAACTATAATAGTACAGCTTATTTTTCTTTGCAAACATTTGCAGGTTATTCACTTATGTTTAGTTTTCAAATACATAATTAGATTGATACATTTTCAAAATAAATTGAGAAAATACATTCCAATACAACTTAATTAGGTTGCATTATAAATAATAATTTTGGCACTGCTTAAGTTACGGATTTGACTCAAATGTATTTTTTTAAAATACAATGCTAAATTCCCTATTTGGAATTTAAGCAGAAAGATCCCCTTAACTCAGCTCTCCAAGTTCTCACCAAAAATCCAGAACATGTACAGCATTGAAAACAATGATTTATAACAAATTAAATTCTTGACAAACATGGCAATCTGTTTTTTGTTGGATATGGTTATATTTAATCTGATTTAATTCTCAGATCAAAGGCCAGTTAATTTGTGACACGCTCTCCTTGTAAATAACATAAGAATATTATTGCATACATTTTAAGATTTGCCCTGTTGCCATTTCTAGGCAAAAAGTATCACTATCTTTCCTCTACTTTTAATAATCCAGTGCAATCTGTATTTGTTTATTTAAATTATAAATTTCTAAACATAGTTATTAACATGTATGTTCATGTGTGAAACCGTATTACCAAAACAAATTCGTCATGTAAAAAAGTACTAAGGAATAAAGCCTCTTCCAGTTCTGTAAAAGCAACATAATAGCTGGGATAAGAGGACATAGGAGTTAAAAACAGTGCAAAAATAAAAAGTAAATCACAATGATCAATTTAAATCAAATGTACTTTATTGTTTCCAAAGATAAATTAAATGTTGGGAGTAACAGTAATTTTTCCATAGATGATGATAGCTGTAGGTAGGAAGGATCGTCTGTCTCATCTTTCATCTGGATCTGAAGAAGCCTTTGACTGAAGATACTCTGTTGAGGTTTTAGCAGTCTTCTAAAGAAGATGCTCAGGGTTCTCCGTCATGTTTTATTTTTCATTTTATGAAGAATTAGTCTTTGTGAAATAATCTTTAGAGGTTCTAGAGGAGTTTCTAGAACAGAGTTGGCCTTAAATGAACAGTAAAAAACAAAGATAAAAAAAAGACAAGGAATTGAAAAAGGACTAGAGATACATCCTCCTTCAATTTATCCTCCATCAAAAAAAAACATAAAAAAAAAAAAAAACATAAAAAAAAAAATGGAATAGGAAGATATTTGGCCCCCCCAAAATGCTTAAAATCGATGGGTTTGGTTACATTTAGGCAGTTTGATCAGCTGGTAATCCAAACTATATTAGTGTAATGACAAGTTTGGCTCATGGCAACTATTAATTTAATTAGATAAAGTAAGAGAATGAGGAGGGTGCATGGGTAGTCAGTGCAACCCACACATATGGAGATATTAACCCTGGTTCTGATGCGATCTCCTTTCCTTTCTTTCTGTTGGTTTATTTTAAATAGGCTACTAGTGCCGCACCAAACCAAAATTACAAATCAAACAATATGCAAAAAAATCCCCTAAAAACTCCTCAGTTATATATGTACAACTTTACATGCATAAAATATTTACAGAATAAAATACATTTAATACAAAAAAAGGTAATAAATTGGCTTTGCTGTTAAGAAAATTAGCAAAAAAGATAAAGAAGCAGATCTCTTTTATTTATCAAAATGAGTGAAAACTATATAAATAAAACAAAGCCAAACTTTTTAAAATCCCATAAAACAAATGCTTTCAAGATATCCTGTAGTTATATGCATAAATATCTTTTTGGAGTGATATTTGCATCACAATATCCTTCAGGTTCCTAATGGCACCTTGAGTGCAGTGGCAACAAAACAGCCAGGGAAGCTCCAAAGGTACATTTCTACCTCCATAAGCTGGACCATAATCCAGTCAGAGGTCACAGAGTGGACATGAATAAATGTTACCAGGAAAATTAGTGCATTGAGAGACTCAGACTGACCCACTGCACACAGTCTGCAACCAAGAGAAAACGTCAATTCTCTTAATTAGCACAACTGGTTTTTACAGATAAGTTAATTAAGGTGGGAGGAGATCACATTAAACCAGAATGGGAGAAAAGGAGTACATTCCCTGGTGAGTGTTGTTCCCTTTTGGGCTCTCCCTAAACAGAACACATCGACAAACCTTTCCTTCGCCACATTAGAAAAGAAACACAATAAATGAGATCCAACATGATAAAGCTGTTCTTTGGTCGTAGGCTTCCACAAAGGAGCGCTCATCAACTCTTGGTTACATCCAAATACGATAAAATCCCAAGACTACAGTGAGACAGGTGAACACGGAGCCTGAAAGATCAAGAAAAAAATTGAAGAAGTCATATGTGTTAAGTCGGAAAACACCAGATACAAAAGCAAGAAATGAAGCAAAACATCATAACCATTTTGGGCTGTTTTCTTTATTTTGCTTTGCAAATAAAAAAACAAAGTACATTATTTTCTAGTGTTGCACCGATACCAGTATCGGGCAGGGCCCGATCCAGCATTAAAATGTTGGTATCGGTGAGTACCAAAAAATACGGCACTGATACCATTTTGAGAGCCAAAAGTTTATTAAACTATTGTCACCAATTCCAGGTAGGCAATAAAAAAATTCTACTGGATTCACTTTGTTTAAGTCTTTTTCCTGCTTCACAAAGGTAGGCTGCAGCTTGACAAAGCCATGATGGCAATTATTTTACATCCAAGTAGTATGCAGTTCTTCATATATACACGCACCAGTTTCAAACAGATGGTATCAGCCAATACTGCAGAGTCAGGCATCGGTATCAGGGCCAAAAATGGCATTGGTGCAACACTATTATACCCCATTTGCACTACCCTTGAAAAACCGGTCCGAGCTCAGTAACTGAGATAACTAATAGTGTGTAAATGGAAAGCAAACTGAACTGAACCGAGCTAGACACAACCGAACCGAGCTAACTGCAGACCAGTTCCAGAGGTGGGCTCGGCTCGGGTTTTCCCTGGCTCGGTTCTCTGGTAATAAGAGCGCATGAGCAGAACGCGTCATCTCCATCTG